TGACAATACTGATGTCAACAAATAGGAAAATAAAGGTTAAAACAACCGCTGGGCAATACTGATGTCAACACAGGGGAAAGTAAAGGTTTAAACAACTGCTGGACAATACTGATGTCAACACAGTGGTAAAAATAAAGGTTAAAACAACCGCTAGATATTAATTGTGCCAACACATAGGTAAATAAAGGTTTAACAACCGCTTGACAATACTGATGTCAACAAATAGGAAAATAAAGGTTAAAACAACCGCTGGGCAATACTGATGTAAACACAGAGGGGAAAAAAGGTTAAAGCAACCGCTGGGCAATACTGATGTCAACACAGAGGAAAGTAAAGGTTTAAACAACTGCTGGACAATACTGATGTCAACACAGTGGTAAAAATAAAGGTTAAAACAACCGCTAGATATTAATTGTGTCAACACATAGGTACATAAAGGTTAAAACAACCACTGGACAATACTGATGTCAACACAGAGGAAAATAAAGGTTAAAACATCTGCTGGGCAATACTGATGTCAACACAGAGCTAAATAAAGGTTTTAACAACCGCTGGACAATACTGATGTCAACACAGAGGAAAATAAAGGTTAAAACAACCGTTAGATACTAATTGTGCCAACACATAGGTAAATAAAGGTTTAACAACCGCTGGACAATACTGATGTCAACAAAGAGGAAAATAAAGGTTAAAACAACCGCTGGGCATTACTGATGGCAACACAGAGGAAAATAAAGGTTAAAACAACCGCTAGATATTAACTGTGTCAACATATAGGTAAATAAAAGGTTTAAACAACCGCTGGACAATACTGATGTCAACAAAGAGGAAAATAAAGGTTAAAACAACCACTGGACAATACTGATGTCAACACAGAGGAAAATAAAGGTTAAAACAACTGCTGGACAATACTGATGTCAACGTCTAACGTAATTATATGGCAATATCACGGACGTTATTATACATGTATTTATGTAAAAGCGTTAAATGTTACAAAACCAACAATTCGCATCATGATGATACCTCAAAATATTAAGAATGTGCTCTTCCATTAAGGTGCTTTAGTTTTGCAAAGCTGCTGGACACCAAACCTTTTTATAAAAATGGCTTACTGACAGTCCATCAACCACGAGGGAACGGATCCTGCATTCTTAAATCTATTTAATTATAATTATATAAATTGTTAATGACATTAATTTTGTCGTTCATAATATTTCGTTCACGCTCAATAGCCTTACCATTTGCACTATTGTCACTCAATAATTGTCCCAAAGCACGCACATATAGTTTTAACCACACGTTTAGGCATAAATGTCAATGATTTGGTTATAACGTCATCTTTTGAGAGAAAGAAGCCGGGACAAGATGATTTACATAAAAGATCATTTATACCTTTTGTCAAAATTGCAGCGATTTTTGCAAAAAACAATTTGACAATATACCTATTTGACTATTTTGCAACCCTCTTCTAGGTTAAAGCGTCAGTCGTAGCCCCTGCCACTTGGAATAATATTTATTACTTCTCGAGACTGTTTTTTTGTTGTTGTTATCATCACATATTCGTTTTATATAACTGAAATAAATATATCGTATTGAATCGTATAAAAACGGCGTTTCGCAAAGTTGACGCGTTAACCTATAGAAAACGGTTTGATATTTTAATACATTGAATCTCTCTCTCTCTCTCTCTCTCTCTCTCTCTCTCTCTCTCTCTCTCTCTCTCAAAAGATGATGCTATTACCAAATCGTTGACATTTAAGCCTAAACGTGTGGTCAAAACTGTAAATTTGCGTGCTGTGAGGCAAAATGTAAGGATATTGGATATTGAGCGTGAACGATTCTGAACGACAAAATTAATGTCATTAACAGTTTTAAAACAATTTATAGTTATAAATATATTCAAGTATGCATGATCCTATCCGCGGTTGTTGGACTGTCTGTCAGTAAGTCATTTTCATTAAAAGAAAGTGTCCAGCAGCTTTGCTGCATTTTCTTGATATTTGAGTCAATCCGTAAATTCCCGGGTTACCATTTTAAGAAGGACTACACTGGGGCCTGTTCGTTTATGCGGAACAACCGGTTAGACCGTTAATAAATGTAACAATATCGGGAATAAATCCTGGCGGACCTGCAAATATTCCTGCAGGCCTTGTAAAGCTTTCTCAATGCTCGCCTGAAAGCAGCATCAGATTACTAGGTCCGACCTTATTTATTAAATGAACAACTGAGGTCCGATCGGTTTGACCGATTAAACGAAAACGTCCTGATTTACAAGTCGCCAACTCGTATAATTATTTTTATCCAATCGTTGCTCTTGCTTTCCGACTTCCTGTTACCTTAGCGCCATATTGAAATCTTTGTTTTGACATGCGACAGATTCAGACTTGATCTGTTTCGTTTGTAGTTAGCGTTTTGATTACAGCAAGATAAAAGTGAAGGTAAGAACAAATTATTAGAAATTAAAAAATACAGTATATGCTGATTTTGTCGATTAATGAGGTTGATCCTCAAATTTTAGCTGTGCAGTGTTATGACAGCTCTCCCAGTCTCGTGCCGTGGGGACACTGTTGCCAGTACGGCTAGACCTTCGGTACTTTGTTGTAATATCACCTTATTCCGAAATCGTCTGCATATTTCCACCATACCATTTTGACAACTTCCATGTTTTGTAATTCCCAAGTCTACCTTAGCTAAAAGGTCACTTTTTATATCAACTCGCCTAAATCAGTTACTGCAACAGCAGCAAATCTGGCGTGTTATTAGACCGAGATTCCTCTGGCCCCGTACACCAAGCTTGACATTTTGACAGATATAGTCAAATGTGACTATGTTGTAGGACCAACAAACCATTACCTGATAAGATTACTGGTCATATTTATCTCGCCCACTTTGATAATAGTGTGGACCAAACATGTGAGTTGGTGAAATTAAAGGTTATTTTCATTATTTTTTTCAATGCCTCCGCTAGGAGTCGAACATGGAACCTCTGGCTTACTAGTCTAACAATCTACTGAATGAGCTAAAGAGCAAATCTCCCTAGCCGAGTCGGTAGGAAGTGGTTAATATTTTACCACGGTGACATACTCACCCTCCAGGAAATAACTTGTCCCGAGTTTCCCAGGGTAATTGGCGATTCTTGTGAAAGTATCGCTGCGTATATTTGTCAAATCTCCCAGGTCCCTACGTGGACGCCAATGTAACAGAAGTCATTATTTTTCAATGCCTCTGCCAGGAGTCTAACCCGGAACCTCTGGCTTACTATAGTATAACGCTTTACCGAATGAGTTAAAGAGAAAATCTTCCTAGCCGAGTCGGAAGGAAGCGACTAGTATATTACCAGGGCGACAATTGATTTGGTGAAATTCCATCGTTGCATTTTCTCCCTATAAACATGTATCCCTTATTAAGTAAAAAAAATATAGTGTATATATCTTTCCTATATGGCAAATATCAATCACATGTTCCCGAAGATGAGCATTGTAAAGATGCTGATTCTGACCTCAGGTGTGCTTCCCGAAGATAATTGGTACAGAAATGTTAATATTTCCTTCTAACCATCAGCTACAGGGAATAAAGGTGATGCTAGTACAAAAATTGAATGAATATACAACAAAGTCACTGAAATTAAGTTATTAGAGAACAAACTTTTGTTTCACTCGCCACTTTGTCCAGCAATATTTTTAATGTACACAAAAAAAATTGCAATCGCAATTCACTCATTTGTTTATATACGTCTTATATATTAATATGTATGGTCATATTTGACTTTATAGCCAAACCTACCTATATATATGGCTAGACTAACCAGTGCTCCAGTATCTGTAAATTATAACTTCATCCCCTCCAAATGTCCAATATCGGTATTGATGGAGTAGAATAGAATAATCAGAGAACAACATTTGTTCAATTTCATGTTGTGCACAAATCACCGATCGACTACATTCTCCATGAAGCCCGTTACATCCCCTCTGAATGTCCCATTCATTTCAAAAAGCATGTACATTGTATAGTTTGATGTAACAGGTTTCATAATTGTTATAAACTAGAAAGTCATGTTTGTAATATTATGTGTAATGTATACTGAACTTACATTGTCAGGGTTGGTGATCATACCTCATATATTCCTGTTTACAACAAGAATAAACATGGACAAGAAAAACTGGCTTAGTAAACAGCAAAAATATTTGGATTAAAAGTATGCTTTTTGAAAGCATACTCACCTATTTAGTTCACATCAGCAGTGGTACACAGAATGTTTTCCTCGGTATAATTTCTTGTTAATGTAACAAACTATACCAATTTTTTACTGTCACCAATATTTATAGCTTACAGCACAATCACACAGTAAAGAAAATACAAGTTCATTCTGTCAATAGATTAAAACATCTAACATAGGATTGCATTTCTGCTAGGCTGATGCCCAGAGCTAGAAGATTTTATGTCAGGGCTAGTGTAAATTTTGACTATTTACCGTTAATATATATAGCTCAGCTAGGCTTGAATAATTTCGCAAAAACTGTTTTATTGTGGGCCAGTACATATTGTACTTCATTAATGAAAATAAAAATATTTCAGTTCCAGAGTCCAAGCAAAATACGAGAGAATAGTTTCAATGTGTTGGAATTTTTACTACCTGAAGTTGCCTGCCTACACAGGCAATATTTCTTTATTTTGACAAATTGACATGAACAAATCCTAACCTGAAATTGACATGAATTTCAGGTCAAATTCAAGTTAAATTTAGGTCAATTTTAACTCAGTTGAAATTTTCATGTCACTTTGAAGTCAATTTTTGAACTGAAATTGACAAATTGACCTGAAAATCTTATCTTAAATTGACTTGAACTCGACATCAACAAGTCATCAACAAGTCTTGTCTGTGTAATTAGATGTACATACATTTTAGAGTTATTCAAGAAAACTGTCAAAAATACTATTTGTCCAATTCACTGATGATTGGCCGTGGTTCTTAATTGTTTTGAGTTCAATTAAGATATTGTCACATCACCTTTGTCCATGATTGATTGCCTGTATGTAACACATCAATGAAGATCTAAAGTAAATTTATTAATAATGTTGATCAGGTTTCCACTCTATGGAGAGATAGACTACAAGGTCAGAGGTCACAATGAGTTTGCGCCCAAGGCCTGTCACAGCAACAGTCACCAAACCAAAATGGATGGAGCCACAAGTTTTTCGACCTCGTTCTTTATCCTTGGACTCGGGCGGGTCTACTGCATCCTTGACCTCTGTTCTAGACCACGATAGCTACATCAGTCCAAGTCCGAGTGATGACGAGGAGGACTGGACCTATGACAAGGAAAACTGTGGAAGGAGTGCGGAGAATGAAGTAAAGGGAGACAATAACAAAGAGCACTGTATAGATAGAAAGGCCCCTGAAAGGTAAATACTACTGATATCTCAATCAAAGGGAGACATTAACAAAGCACTATATAGATAGAAAGGCCACTGAAAGGTAAACACTTCTGATATCTCAATCAAAGGGAGACAATATCAAAGGGAGACAATAACAAAGAGCACTATATAAATAGAAAGGCCATTGAAAGGTAAATACTACTGATATCTAAATCAAAGGGAGACAATAACAAAGAGCACTATATAGATAGAAAGGCCATTGAAAGGTAAAGACTACTGACATCTCAATCAAAGGGAGACAATTACAAAGCACTATATAGATAGAAAGGCCATTGAAAGGTAAAGACTACTGACATCTCAATCAAAGGGAGACAATAACAAAGCACTATATAGATAGAAATGCCATTGAAAGGTAAATACTACTGACATCTCAATCAAAGGGAGACAATTACAAAGCCCTATATAGATAGAAAGGCCATTGAAAGGTAAATACTACTGACATCTCAATCAAAGGGAGACAATATCAAAGGGATACAATAACAAAGAGCACTTTATAGATAGTAAAGCCATTGAAAGGTAAATACTACTGATATCTCAATCAAACGGAGACATTAACAAAGCACTATATAGATAGAAAGGCCACTGAAAGGTAAATACTATTGATATCTCAATCAAAGGGAGACAATAACAAAACAATTTATAGATAGAAAGGCCATTGAAAGTTAAATACGAAAGAAATCTCAATCAAAGGGAGACAATATCAAAGGGAGCCAATAACAAAGAGCACTTTATAGATAGTAAGGCCATTGAAAGGTAAATACTACTGATATCTAAATCAAAGGGAGACAATAACAAAGAGCACTATATAAATAGAAAGGCCATTGAAAGGTAAATACTACTGACATCTCAATCAAAGGGAGACAATTACAAAGAGCACTATATAGATAGAAAGGCCACTGAAAGGTAAATACTACTGATATCTCAATCAAACGGAGACATTAACAAAGCACTATATAGATAGAAAGGCCACTGAAAGGTAAATACTACTGATATCTCAATCAAACGGAGACATTAACAAAGCACTATATAGATAGAAAGGCCACTGAAAGGTAAACACTACTGATATATCAATCAAAGGGAGACAATATCAAAGGGAGACAATAACAAAGAGCACTATATAAATAGAAAGGCCATTGAAAGGTAAATACTACTGATATCTCAATCAAAGGGAGGCAATAACAAAGCACTATATAGATAGAAAGGCCACTGAAAGGTAAACACTTCTGATATCTCAATCAAAGGGAGACAATATCAAAGGGATACAATAACAAAGAGCACTTTATAGATAGTAAAGCCATTGAAAGGTAAATACTACTGATATCTCAATCAAACGGAGACATTAACAAAGCACTATATAGATAGAAAGGCCACTGAAAGGTAAATACTACTGATATCTCAATCAAAGGGAGACAATAACAAAGCAATTTATAGATAGAAAGGCCATTGAAAGTTAAATACGACTGACATCTCAATCAAAGGGAGACAATATCAAAGGGAGACAATAACAAAGAGCACTTTATAGATAGTAAGGCCATTGAAAGGTAAATACTACTGATATCTCAATCAAAGGCAAACAGATCACAGCTCTGTCAGGTTTCCTATCGCATCATAAATGGCATGCTTAGTTTTCTTTTGGTTATTTTCTTGACTGACCAAATAAACCACGTTAATGTATGTAGTTAATTGTTGACAGAAAAAGACATTGCTATGAAACTTGGTCATTTGTGTGTGATATTTTTCCCAAAGTCGAAAGGAACAGGCCAAGTAGAAATGATGTAGAAAAATCTGTCATCATTTTTTGTCAGAAAACAGCTGTTAACATATATACACAACATGTTTACAACAAACAGTAGCTTATCTAACCTTAATTAAGTGTTGTTTACCAGTATTTTAGTATCTAGATCCATCACATTCATGTAGCTGGTATCAGTTAATGTACTAGTATCTGTTAGACAGATTATCATCGTAACTCCGGTACAATGTCCTGTCGTTATCAGCCTGAATGTACATTTTTGATGTCTGTTGAGAAATGAAAACATTCAAACTTGCTGGATAGTTTGCATTGGTTTTATAAATGTATGCTGACATTTCTGTTGTGTTATAAAAATTGATCGATAAAAGAGTATAAGATTGAGAATGAATTTTCAAAATGAAAAGGGGCTTCAACACGAGGCTCTGCTGAGTGTTTGACAACTTTAGAATATTCCCCGAGGGTTGAGATTCCCCTATCTCACTCACAAGGGGGTGAATGATTCTTTTTCTCGTACCCTGTTCTCCCATTGTGTATCATATATACACAATGTAATGATAACGTTACATGCTAAATTCAGGGTTGACATGGCATTGATGTATTGTTGATGTGACGTCATTGTTTTGTTGAAGTGAGGTCATACCATTGTTTGACAAGGAAATCTCACACTGGTAAAAGTGTGGATACACCTGTCCAGGGTAAGAGAAAGATCATGTCAGCTCACCGTCTACAGTTCTCTATAATGATCTTAAGTGTAGGCACTCTGTTTGAAACTGTGTCTATATTTGTACACTGTACAAGTCAGTAGGGGTATGTCGGGGGGAGACGCAAATATATACAGTTCTCTATATTGATCTTTATTGTAGGCATGCTGTAGGAAACTGTATCTATATCTGTACATTGCATATGAACATGTATATTTACAAGTCAGTAGGGGTGGGCAAGGGGAGACACGAGTCAGAAGGGGTTAGTCAGGTGAAACACAATTATATACAGTGCTATATGTACATGGTATGAGTCAGTAGGGGTGGGTCAGGGGGAGACACAAATATATACAGTGCTGTATGTACATGGTATAAGTCAGTAGGGTAGGGTCAGGGGGAAACACAAATACATACAGTGCTGTATGTACATGGTACAAGTCAATAGGGGTGGGTCAGGGGGAAACACAAATACATACAGCGCTGTATATACATGGTATGAGTCAGTAGGGGTGGGTCAGGGGGAAACACAAATACATACAGTGCTGTATGTACATAGTACAAGTCAATAGGGGTGGGTCAGGGGGAGACACAAATATATACAGTGCTGTGTGTACATGGTATAAGTCAGTAGGGGTGGGTCAGGGGGAGACACAAATACATACAGTGCTGTATGTATCTGATACAAGTCAATAGGGGTGGGTCAGGGGGAGACACAAATATATACATTGCTGTGTGTACATGGTTTAAGTCAGTAGGGGTGGGTCAGGGGGAGACACAAATACATACAGTGCTGTATGTACATAGTACGAGTCAATAGGGGTGGGTCAGGGGGAGACACAAATATATACATTGCTGTGTGTAGATGGTATAAGTCAGTAGGGGTGGGTCAGGGGGAAACACAAATACATACAGTGCTGTATGTACATGGTACAAATCAATAGGGGTGGGTCAGGGGGAGACACAAATATATACATTGCTGTGTGTACATGGTATAAGTCAGTAGGGGTGGGTCAGGGGGAGACACAAATACATACAGTGCTGTATGTATGTGATACAAGTCAATAGGGGTGGGTCAGGGGGAGACACAAATATATACAGTGCTGTATGTACATGGTATAAGTCAGTAGGGGTGGGTCAGGGGGAGACCCAAATACATACAGTGCTGTATGTATGTGATACAAGTCAATAGGGGTGGGTCAGGGGGAAACACAAATACATACAGTGCTGGATGTACATGGTATAAGTCAGTAGGGGTGGGTCAGGGTGAGACACAAATACATACAGTGCTGTATGTACATGGTATGAGTCAGTAGGGGTGGGTCAGGGGGAGACACAAATACATACAGTGCTGTATGTACGTGGTATGAGTCAGTAGGGGTGGGTCGGGGGAGACACAAATATACACAGTATTGTATGTACATGGTATGCATGATTACACAAATATATACCGTTCTATATGAACACTGTACAAGTCAGTAGGGGTGGGTCAAGGAGAGGCACTAATATATACAGTACTTGTGTATACTATACAAATCAATATCCTAGGCTAAACTCTAACCAAAAATGCAATTAATCACAATGACACTTCATGGTCCTGAACAGGATAGGATAGTTGATTGGAAATCCAAGATGGCCACTGTGACCTTCATGTTGCTCCGACATTTTCGACTAATTCTCAGTTTAACTAGAACAACTTCAACCAACTACGGTATACTGTTCCTCAGTTATCACCCTGACCAAATGTTGTTTCAACCTTCATCCTTGGCACAACAAGAAATCAGTTATCACCTCCAAGGTCCCGAGTTTGTAGAAACAAGTATCAACTTCTATATCGTTCAGATATCAAAAGAAACACTGGTGAGCATTACAATATGATTGGCCCCTTATTATTTTATATTCTGTTTATTTAAAATACAGTACAAACATATGTTTCTGGCAATTTTTTCCAGGAAATTGGCAGAGTATGATGAAAGTACATATACAGAAGTGACAGAAAGTGAGAACAGTCCTGAAGGTAAACTGTCTCCCTGGGAAAAATGGCTTATCTCTAAGACAAAATCAGAACGCAAGTCACGTAAACAGAAGGTTCTAGAAAAGAAAGAACAAAAACAGAAACAAGAGGAGGAGAAACTCACCAAAGAAAAAGACAAAGAGAAAATAGAAGAAAATCGTCGAAAATGGTTAGCAGAAAAACAAGAGAGAGCAAAGCTACGCAGAAAAATGGAACATCAACGAGTGAAAATGGAGGAAAGACTTAAAACTGAACAGGAGAGAGACATTGCTGAAAAAGCTGAAAAAGAGTTTAAAAAGTGGAAGGTAGAGAAAAAGAAGGCTGAGCGGGAAAAAGAACAGAAAGAACGACAGAAACAACAGGAGAAGGAGCAGAAGCAGGTAGAAAAACAGAAAAAAGCGGAAGATAAATACAAGGAATGGTGTCTAAAGGCTGCCAACAGGCCTAAGTCCGTCCCCAACAGCTTCGGCTACACCTCTGGTAAACTCACAGGTGAGTACTATGTAAGATAAACCTTTGGTAATTTACAGGTGATCGATGTAGTAGCTATATATAGTGTGTCAGATAACCTTTGGTAAATTACTGGTGAGTACTATGTAAGATAAACCTTTGGTAAATTACAGGTGAGTAGTGTTTACAGGTGAGTAGTGTGTCAGATAAACCTTTGGTAAATTACAGGTGAGTAGTGTGTCAGATAACCTTCTAGGGGCTGCCGTGGCTGAGTGGTCAAGGCATTAGGTCGGTGGTTTTTCTTTGGACACTCTGGTTTTCCTCCACCACCAAAACATGGCATGCACTTAAATGACCATAGCTATAAATAGGACGTAACGTTAACACACAAACCAAACCAGGTAAACTTCTGGTACACTCACAGGTTATTATTGTATCAGATAACCCTCTGGTAACCATACAATAGCCCTCTGGTAACCATACATTTATGCCACCAATAACAGAAAACCATAGCCCTCTAGATCTGGTAACCATACATTTATGCCACCAGTAACAGAAAACCATATCCCTCTGGTAACCATACATTTATGCCGCCAGTTACAGGAAATACATTCTATGTGCTAGCACAGGCTAGGCTAGAAATCAGAATAATCTAACAAGTTTCAGGTTAGTTTGGACTCGTAATAGATTACATGATGCTTAATGTGGGTGACCCATTCTCACCTTTCATGTTATTTCAACAACTCATATGATCAGTGTAGAAGTAGTGTTACGGATGTACATGGCTGTACTAGTTGTGTAGCGCAAATGGACTAGGTCGATCGCTGGGGACCGGGTAGCTCATTTTATAGAGGATCCATCCAGAGTTCAAATGGTGGACTGGCTGTGCACTTTTTCGCTCCTATAATATAATTGATGCCTGTGACTAACCCTTGTTTCAAGTACTGGCTGAATGCTTGGAATAGGGATACCCAAACCTGGATTGTAATTTAAGTGTTGTCTTCAGGGGTGAAAGTAAGAAAATGGAGGGAGGAATGTAGCGGAACTTGACTGGGGTCGATTGCTGGAAACCTGTAAGGTAACTCGGTAGGTACAACATATGTCCGTCAATGGTTCAGAGGCTCCTTGATATGAAGCCTGGCCTAGTCATGCATTTTCCCACTCCAATTACAATTGTACATAGTAAGGCAAGATAAAACCTGAGAAATCTTGATTTGAAAGTAGTATACACACCCTATTGAACTAGATTATACAAATATCAGGATGAACATTTTTAAGTTATGAAAACACAACAAAATTTTGTTATAACTTTGTACTGGTTGTTTGCGATTCCTTTTTATGATACAACAATAAAAAATTGTGTCAATATCAAATTTAAAAATACTGAAAATCAAAGTGGAACCCATCTTTAAATTAGCCTGATCACATCTCAGGTGTGTTACTTCAGGATACAGATGATGTGTTAATGTTCCTTAGTGTGATTATTCATCCTTTTAGCTAGATCTGATCCAATCAAAGTCAGGTAATTATACATGTGTTGGGTCAGAGTTGGAAGTTTTCCAGTTAATTTGTTTATAATTCAAACTTAATCTTGTTGAATATTTTGTACATGTTCACTTTATAACGTTTAAGTTGTTCACAGTAATACAATGTATGCAGTTGACATTTTGTTCAGTTCTGATTATCTATCATGAGTATATCATGTATGCCTGAAAGTAGCAGTCCAATCCCATCATGGTTTCATCTGATTTGTGCATCCATCTGTCTTTAAATCTGTGGACAATTGTGTTTCTGATCTTTAGGTATGTACAATGTATGTCTAACGTGATTTTTACAAAACTTAATTAATACTATTTAGAGAGGGGCATTAAAGTTGTTATGATATGCCAGGGATTTATAAGGGTATGTTTCATATTTATGATAAAGGATGATCCTTCCAAAGTTGGAAAAATGATTGACAGAAATACTCGGCATACTCGAAATTTAGAATACGTCAAAGTATATGTATAATATAATTAAAATGAAAGATATGGTCAGAATGTACAATGAATGATACATGCTAGCCAGAAGGCAGATTTTGCATAATTTTAATTGCCTGAGCTAATGCCTTCCTAAGTGTAAGAAGTACATTTTCACTACACTTAACATCTATTTCCCCCAGGTGTCAGCTGGCAAGCATGCAGACCTGTGCACCTTTGATAATATACATTGTGTTCATAAAAGAAACTCCAATATTTTAAGATTGTCTTTAGCCCTATATATCCTTTATAAATATATGATCTATTTAAGACTGTCTGTGTTCTTTAAATATATGATTTATTTTAGATATGCATGTCTGTATCCTAACAATTAAGATATACAATATATACTAATTAAAGAATCAAGTGTTTTAGCAAATGTCTTATAAATAATTTGTTAAACACCACAGTTTGACAATAGTTTGTTGAACACCACAGTTTGACAATAGTTTGTTAAACACCACAGTTTCACTTTAAGACACAGCTTTATGGAACTGTTTACAGATTCGTTCTAAATGAAGAGAATAGGATTTTTTCTGGTACAATTCAGGTACAGATACAAACTGTTAAAGTAGTGTTTCATAAATATTGAACAATAACACAAGTACAAGTACTGGGTAACATTAAAAACGAAGTTTGATGATTCAAAGTTGGGTTTTTTCTTCAGAAATTGATGGAACTTGATCCTAATTTGCACTGAAAATGAGCTGAAAGTGACTGTTAAATGATGTTAAACGTACTGGTATTTATTACTAAGGTGATCGTGGTTTCAATCATAGATAAATTAGTACACAGGTTTGGTGCTGAACATCTATTTTATTGCTGTAGATCTGTGCATATGATATAATATAGAGATATTTTAAAGTTTTGTAAAAATGACTTGACAATTCATTTAACATTAATAAATATTTCAACAAAAAATAGATGATATCCATTTCAAACTTGTAAAAATATATATAAATAATTCACATTAAAGATGACTGCACAATGTCCATTTTATTGCGATATTGACATGTTTCAGCTTGCTGCCATCTTTACTGTGAGTTGTATAATTAATTTGTTCTGTACCAATGAATTTCACTGTCCAGAGACTGTAGAACTTTTACAAGTACACAGAAACAGGCATTGTATCTCATTTCCTCTGTATTTGATACAAATGGAACTATATAACTTTGAGATGCACAGACAGTAAAATTGCTGAAGTGTCTGTGACAGTACAAGTTACATGTAGAGGTTATATGACAGCAGTATTCATTCCCTTTATCATCCTAAGACACTAGTGTGGTAGTAAAAGCCAGAGAACCACTTTTTTATCACTTATCACACACATTTTGAACAAAAAATGGGATTTAATTGAACAATTTTGATTTAACAATCAACAAATTGTGAATTAATGTAGTCCTTCGAATTCATGTTCTTTTTCCTTTTGAAACTTTAATGTTGATAAACACTTGCCTGGATGGGACATGAAAACTGTTAGATCTGTGACCTACACAGATGAGAACCATCAAAACTTTTATATCATCAAAGATAAAAGTTTGATATTAATTTCTTTGTCCTATTTCCTTAAAAGGCCATGTTACCTTATATGGTTTATTGTACATTTTTTCAAGTCCAATTTTGCTTCCACATTAGCTCATTCACCCCTGAAATTTCATAATGAACTATTCCAACCTTTGAATTGGAAGAGTTCAAATGGGTCTTCAGGGGTGAATGAGAGATGTGCATGAGAGATACTGTAAGATTCATCCAATGTCATCACTGTATGTAGTGTGAACTATTAATTATCCAATGTTAATATCTGTTCAAAGTCTATTCCATCTCCTGTTGACCTTGATCTTGTTCACTCTGCCCTGTTTCCATTTGGCCTTGACCTTCCTCTACTATCTGGGGGAGACAACTCTGTAGTGTCTCAATGTCACTGGGATTCTCTTTGTAATAGGCAGCAACTTTCAGTTTCTAAGTGGAAAAACATGATAATACTGATGAGCAATTGTGATATAAATAACTATATAAGTTTATGATATATTGTACAAAGCAGGCCCTTCCTTAATTTGTTGTTGTTATATGATGTAGATCAGGCTGGATTATCAATTATCCTTTGAGCCACCTTCAAGCTGAGAATGAACTAAGGTCTCTTTGTCTATAGAAAATTAAGTTAAGTTTCTCTTATAAATTCACAGAGATTAAGTTTCAGCTGAAGTCTATTGGAGTTTCAGTTGAAGTTTTTGTTACTTTTGAGTCAGTTGATGTTTATTAAGTTTCAACTGAAGTCTGTAATTTGTTACAAGCAAATCAAGATATGTTAACAATTTTAAGTCTGAATGGAGTATAAAGTTTGATTTTAGGTCTCTATTTTAAGTCAGTAGGAGATGAAGATTGACTCTAAGCGAAGGTGATACGTAAGACTTTGAAAGTAATGAATAATGAAATACTTACTGCATCTTTGACTTTAATGTTGGAACCGTTTTCTGTGAGGATTTGGGCAAGATCTTCTGACAGAGCCATGGTGTAGTGTAAAGGTGTACGGTACATCTAGAGGGTAGGACAGTTATAACATTTATCAACTTCATTTGGCTGTACAGTAAAATATGGTGAGATACATTTGTATTTAATATCTTCTTTAAACAAAATTTACAGGCAGTCATATTCTCCAGCCATATGGAATATTATACTGACTCTACCAGGTTAGAAGATTGTATGTACTATTATCACTAAAAATCTGTCGGGTCGTATGAAAGTTGTTCTTTGAAGTCTTCAAACTTACATTATCTCTAGCTTTGAGTGTTTCTGGGAAGTTCGTGGCGAGGTACCGGACGACATCTGATTGGTTGGCAAGTACAGCTATGTGTAAGGGGCCGCGTCCGTATTTGTCTCTGGCCGTTACGATTTGTCGCTGCTCCAATGCTTGTTGTAGTTCACTGACTACACCAGTCTGGGCCGCCCTCAGCACCCCCAACATCTTCTCCTGTGTCAACAGATCAATAGGTAGCAGTGAAAAGTACATCCCACTCATTTCGTCCAAATAAGAGCTTTAAAAACTAATGTAGGATTATAACAATTGGCAAGTAGCTGTTTTGGAGGAAGTGATTCTTTTTTTATTGTATTGTGATGGGGTCAACTTTGAGGTCTTGTTAAGTTCAAGGTCAATTTCAATGTATTTTGCTATTATTAGTATGTAATGAAGACCAAACATGTGCACGTACATCTTTTTTCAAATGTATTGCGACGAGATCAATTAAACTTCAACTTTGAGAGCTGGTCAGGATCAAATTTCAACATATGATAATATGGGTGAATGCTGCAGGTCATGTGGGCCTTTTGCTGATGAATAAATAGCTTTGTTACCAGGATTTACCTGAAAGTCTGGAACTGAGTCAATAAACTTAGTGATGCCCTCTGATTGCTCCTTGGCCTTGACGCTTTGTAACACAACCTCCCATTGGTCATAACCATCCAATAAGAGCTTCTCTAACTCTGCAAACTTCTCATTCTCGACAAGACTCTGTACAAACTCATCTGAAACATTCATAGAACTTTTAAGTTTTGAATTGAAATACATGTTAAACAAAACATACATAAGATACAATGTATAACATTTTGAGTAGTAGATATGTTATAACAATATCCAATGGAATCACAATTACACTGTATTCTAATAAGTCTTACCTATAGTGTCAACATGATGCTGGAGCCCTTTTTCTGCAGCTAGCTCCCGAGGGGTCTGGTTATCCCCGTTCCTCTCAGCTAAACTGTATCCCATGTTAAGCACTGACATCAGGGTCGAATCTGTGGGAGAACAATGTCACGAACAAGTTGATATAAAATCAATTTGTAGAATTTATTCAAGGACATTCAAAACTAGTATTAGACTATTTGTGTTGACTGATGTGCAGCTGCCATTATCGTTATTAAGTCTTAGTCCATTCATGTTCCATCTCCCAAACATTTCTCCCTTCAGCTCGATCCACACTGTCAAATTATCCATCTACATGTCCTCCCTCAACTCTACCTCTCCATCAAATCGTTTATCAGTCACTGCAGCTTGGTCTTCTCTTATAAGTCTTGTCTCACAGCCTCTCCACCTACAATCCTCTCTTTTTCCCATCACTCACTTAGAGGTTCAGTCATTCTCTTCCTCCTTTCCCACTTTCATCTTCCCTCCCACACACCCCTAGCTACTGCCTCTTCTATTAGCTGTCTCCACCCCTTCACAAACTCAGAGGTTCAGTCATTCTCTTCCTCCTTTCCCACTACACTCTTCCTTTCCACACACCCCTATAGCTACTCAACTCCTCTTCCATTGCCTTTCTCCAAGCCTTCATGATCACTTACCTGGCGTTGAAGCCAGTCTGTGTAGCTCGGTCTGTCCTGTAAAGTCTTTCTCCCTGCCTCGTTCTGCATCTTCCTCCCCTTCCTCCTCCTTCAATGTTTCCAGGTTAGGTCTCTGAGCTAGGGCAGCCTCCTTTGCTCTGTAGAAAATCATCCCATGCAATCATATCAAATCATCCTTACATTATAAAATCAGACTGTCTAAAATGGCATCTTAATGAAATTACGTCATTGATTTTGTTTCTTTTTATAAAAATACAGATAGATCTTTCAAACAAGTTGCCCACTCTCTTGCTCTCCATGACAACATTCCCTGTATTATTCTCAACCATCCCTCTACCTGGCATGTCAATTATCGCTGCATTCCTTCTTCAGTGACGTTTATATTACCTCATGCAGCTCCTTCATGCTATAAACCTAGTATCACATGTTCCTCCACCCTCACACTTACTTCCTCTGTAAATCTTCTTGCTCCCTCTTCCGCCGTTCCTCTTCCTCTTTTTCCGCCTTTTCCCTTGCCTCTTCCTCCATCTGTCTTTGTTCCTCCAGTCTCTTTTCTTTCCTCTGTTGCGCTTTTATCATCTCAGCCTCCTCTTCCCCCAACTGTTTGGCTTCTGCCAGTTGCTATGACATCAGATTTTGTATACATTGTTATAATTGTCCGTTCTGATTCGGTCAGTATTCCCGAATGTAAACCCTAACAAACGAGGGTGTGTTGGTTGTACCTCCATTCTATAACTAAATATAGTAGCTTGACAATGATATATACCCCCAAATTTAAATCTGATGGGGGACAATGATCACTCTTAATTCTATAAGTTATATTCAGTTACAAATCCTGGCAATTACATGACATGTTAGGGAAGGAACAACTTTTTGTTTGGCGAGCTGAAATGAGTTGAGGTCTCTAAACATTCATTATATATATATATAATGACACAGTAAGTGATAATGTAAAGAATCTATGAGACTATTGAATAGAACATTGTACTACATTGTAACCATGTTGTTGTTAAATCTTATTCTACAGTTCCAGATGCCTTTTATGGTAAGTATAACCAACATATATACATATATCTATACCTTATAACTGTTCTCTGTTTATAGTGCTAGTGGCTAGTTAAACTCCCGTACTCAGGGAAAATAACTGGTTTGTACTCCAGTACATGGGCAATTCTAGACAAAATAACCAGCTGTGTTTGTGAATAAGAAACTGTTCTTATTTTGAATTTATATCTAATAATCGATTCCGTGCTTATGTCAGCAAGAACGTGGTTATCTGTAGATCCAGATGTAATTTGGCTTCCTTTTAATTAACTGTGTTGTCTGTCAAGGTTTGGGGAAGTGATGCTTTTATAACTATAGACTTTATAACCCAACTGTTTGTATTTCATTCCTGGTGAATTGAGAAAAAATGGTGTTCATTTGATGAAATATATCATGTTTGTAAAAATGGATATTAAGATCATGCTTACCATTTAAAAGGCGGAGGTAGCTCACATTGTTAATTTACAATTTTGTATATTTGCAGAGTAAAAAGTTGTCACTTTATCTATAGCTAAAGACAAACAAAATTAAATTAAATTGTATAATTTATGTCTGAACATTTTATTTTCAAAAGCTTTAGAATTTTGGTTTGTAGTATAAATTTATATATAGTCATGAAATGTTCATCATATCAATTTATCAAAACTATCATGATGTGCACAAATTAAACAACATTCATTCAATATAATCTGACACCATTTAACAAAAAAGTTCTTTTCTGCCGAGTTTCACTTGATTGTGGAAATTTTTTAGAGTATTAAATGGTCATGATCAGAGATTTTTGTTTAGAGGTAGTTGTTAGCATGTACATGTTCTCATCAGCTGGTTGTCTAACCCTTTCACCACTGTAGACCATAATGGACTCATCCAGATCATAGCAATTGGAAGAGTTTACTAATGTTACATAGGGGTGAAAGTTGGTCTGTACTGGCCTGGTTGTTCAGGCCCTACTTACTCACCTGTTTATGGTGGTCAGAGTTGGCCTTGTATTTGTAGAGCCAATTAGCCAAGTATTCTATTGGGTCATTTGGTCGACATGTTGCGATCTCGGCTAGAGCCAAGGTGAGAGCGCCCCCTAGATGTTCTGCGGCATACTTCCCGTCAATAGTGGCAGGAGGTGGGGCTGTAATGCGGGGACCCATTGTTGGGGCCACATATGGTTTCTGTATAGCTGCAGGATTGGTGGAAGTTTGCTGTTGCTGTTGCATGCTGGGAAATAAAGATATGGATATAATTATGTCGGCTTCAAGATGATTCAGTAATATTTTAATTCAAGGTACTGCGTTAAAACTCTACATTGCTAGTTTTGACCTCTGAGTTTCTCCCTGGTGAACCTGCGGCATGTTGTAGCATATGAGCTGTTCATCTTCCGTTAAAGTTTTCATTTAAATGACTACTACTACAGAACTGCTGGAGCAAATTTAACTAAATTTGGTATGGAACATTCCTGAGTCAAGCTTCTGTTTAAATAAATTCAAAGGGTGCACTACCCCCTGGGGTTAGATTAGTTGGGGCTTAATAGAAGAAATAGAGGCTATTAAAATCTTACAAGCAGGGAGAGTTTTTTCTACCACTGGTATTTGGTATGACAGATCTCTTTGCCAATAAGATTTATTATTGTATTTAATGAAGGATTTGTCCCAAGGTTCATCAGCAAATGAGAGTTTGGATCCTTTAGGGGAAGTTAAGATACATCTCTAAAAGGCCTGTAGAATTTGGCTAAATAATACATGCAACATCGTAAGATTGACATCATTTAAATAACACTGGTTTACTTGAGTTCAAACAGGTGTTATAGAATGAAAGCTGACTTTACAGATGTAGGAAATATAGGAATTACAGGAACTTTTGCTATAACAAAGCATAAAGTCTAGTAACTGCACAGGTTCACAAAATCATTTTATTTATTCATTTAATATTGCTGGATGTTCTTTAAAACTTTTGTCGGTAAACGTCGGGTTTTACTGTATAAAAGTCTAAAGCTTGAACCAATAAAATACAGCATTTTCATCGATCAGTGGTTACAGGTTAACTTTGAATAAGTTTGTTAAGCCCATGTGATATTTCATTTCCACCTATATCCAATTATAATAACAATCCTTGTGAAACCATGGCCACATACGGTGAGAATTTAACAATCAATTAACCAGCCAGGGATCACATACAACAAAATATAGATTTTTACCTTACAATTATGTGTATTGCTAAGCTCATTTAAACAGCTTTAAACATGAAGGAAAATCAACTTTAGAATGAAAATAAGATCCACACAATAACATGTTATTACTCCGGTGTAGTATATAGATAATTGATTTAAAAGTCAATGGGGAATGTTTGTTGTAATTACGCGAGTTAAGTCGTTATAGAATCTAACATCCTGTCTAGACTGGCCCCCTGTTGATACAGGACAATATTGGTCAGGTAATAGGTATTCTAGTTGTGGTTCTAATATAATATAAATCAATTATTACATTAATGGTACTGGCTTCAGACTGCTGTGTACTAGGACTACTACAAGTGTATGCTAGCCTATTCTACATACAAGGTAGTCTTTACTCATGATCAGGTTGGGTAAGCTTTCAACCATGAGGCATTTTCAGTGTTTGCACAGCAATGAATTCAAATTTCCAAGCATAATTTCTGTTCTACACTTTAATAATAGAGAGTACTTATCAATTGACAAGAGAGAAAAAAATTACAGTGAGGAAAAGATGAAAGGTTTTCATTCTTTAAGTTTAATAATTTGGATGTATATATATTCAGTATTCGTGGTGCCATTGTAGCCAATGTCTTCCTCAAGCTGAAGCACAACCGTTCAGTATTAAAATTTAAAATTCACAATTTATTATTTATATTAACACATGTGTTAATGTCATGCAAGTGATATCAGGGTTTGTACATTGAAGACACGCTGATACTGTCACAACCTGTGGATGGGAGGTTATACATGTATATACAGATATATAGAGTGATTACCAGTGACTTTGTGGTCTAATCCTTTATAAAAACAGTTAACATTGTTGACATTTAACACATATTTACAGGTACATGTACTTGTATTGAATTATGTATGTGAACAATATATCCAACAGTGGTAACTGCCGAGTAGAATCACTTCATCACGATCATCATCATCATCATCATCATTAGTCTTTTATTCAAACAAAATATATGGTCATATTATCCTAAATACTAAGTGCTACGACACATTTATCCCTTGCACAGTGACTTAATGACAAATGATGCCTATGATAGATTACAGGTACCAAATACCTGGGGTTTACCTGTATCTATAAAGGTCCACTTACCTTATGGTAAAGGGGGTATCAATCTGTCTTAGATTAAACACAAGCCTCTTAATTTCCTAGCAGTGCTGATATGTCTTGAGCCTGTCCAATCACATCGCTGTCGTATGGTAGGAGCAGGGCCTACTCATGCTTGTCCTGGCCGTCGCTAGGTACACTGTTTACGTTGACAACAGTGCTGTCGTTGGAGCAGATCGAGAGTAAGAGTTACTGTCGTTGGTGGGTTTATCATGCTAGGTTAGCTTGGTCCCAGGATAAATGTTCGGGTTTGAAATAGAATACACTGAAGATTCCAGTTCAATTAGCATGCACAATGTAAGGCTGAGTAAAATGAAGATAAGTTAAATGTGAGAAGTGTAGGGAGACATAGGTTTGGTTGGATTTAAAAGATGACAATGCTTTCACTCCACAGTAATGGTGATCCCTATTTAGTATTTGTCAATAGAATCTGGTATAGAAATACAGGTGTAACGTGGCATTGACAGTAGTGCAGTCTCAATAGATGGCTGTTTTTAGAACCTTCAATGTGTGAACAGGAATATATTAGATTGCTGGGGTCACTTTTTGTGTGTGATATATGTGTAAAGTGTATATATATACATGTAGGTAATGTGTATGTAACTGAAAGTCTACACTTTCCAACAAAAACCCTTTCACTAATGAAGCCCTAATTTAAAACAGGAATTCAAAAGACTTCCCTCTGATGACAAACCCTTGTATTTAGGGATTTTAGGTTTTGGATTGACCTCATTCCTGTAGGAACTCTATCCAAATCAGAGATTTATAACGATAGTCCGATATCTATCATTATAAATCTTTGATTTAGATAGAGTTCCTACAGGATTGAGGATTGACCTACTCTAAATTAACCCCAGTGTCATATAATGTATTCGCAATACACTGATATAAGTTTGCTAATTGATGACCTTCATAGAATATTAAAATAAAATAAGTTGATATAAGACATTGTGAAGTTTTATATTCTATAAATTCAGAATATTTTATAAAAAGTCTGTCAGGGAAGCCGTGGTCTCAAAGTTGATTTTGTGAGAGAATAAGTTGGTGAAACAGTTAACCCTGGAACACAAGAAGCTTGTACATGCAGTTAACCCGCACTCTACCAGGTCTAGATCTCTTTATAAGTACATCACTGTAATAGTCATACTTGACTCAATATACACATAATAACATGTGATTGCCCTCCTTAATAAAACAATGAGTATACCAAAATTTGGTGCACATCCCTAGGAAGAGGAAAATACATACATGCATTCGAAAAATGTAGAATGCTGAAGACTGTACTATATAAGTTAACTCTCATTGTATACTGTACAGATCTAGAGTGGCATATGTTGATAGGTCTCTGACAAAAACCTTGTATGTATAAAAGCAAAAAATACAAATAAATATTAAACTTGGCTTCTCAATATTGACTTTTTAACTGTGTTTATGGCTTGAGAAGTGTGGAAATGAATTGAAATAGTCGTTTATTATTCTAAAATGTGGGTCTGTTATAAGTGTTAGTAAATTGTATATATACTACATGTATATGTATTAATGGTTCAAGGTTTCAGTGAATTTCACTAACACTTTTTTTTCCTTAGCAACATCTTAAATATATCTATGTACAATTTGTTCCTTAATTTCCCTAGCACTGGTATTATATAGCTGTCTGTAGAAAACAATCCCTTTCGCTGCCTAAAATGACCATAGCTGTTGATAGGATGTTAAAACCTTGACAGCCAACCTTTCACTACCAATATAAATATATATATATATACATGTATCTGTATGCACTACATATTCCTATTTACCTCAGTTACAGTACTCTGTAAAGTAACTCTCTATGTATACATATTGTTCCTATATTACCCAACAACAGTATATAACAGTTCCTTTTCCCCCTAGTAACAGTATATATAACTCTCTATGTATACATATTGTTCCTGTATTACCCAACAACGGTATATAACAGTTCCTTTTTCCCCTAGTAACAGTATATATAACAATCTATGTATACATATTGTTACTATATTACCCAACAACAGTATATAACAGTTCATTTTCCCCCTAGTAACAGTATATATAGCTCTCTATGTATTCATATTGTTACTATATTACCCAACAACAGTATATAACAGTTCCTTTTCCCCCTAGTAACAGTATATATATAACTCTCTATGTATACATATTGTTCCTATATTACCCAACAACAGTATATAACAGTTCAATCCCCCCTAGTAACAGTATATATAGCTCTCTATGTATACATATTGTTCCTGTATTACCCAACAAGGCTATATAACAGTTCCTTTTCCCCCTAGTTACAGTATATATAGCTCTCTATGTATACATATTGTTACTATATTACCCAACAACAGTATATAACAGTTCATTTTCCCCCTAGTAACAGCATATGTATATAACTCTCTATGTATACATATTGTTACTGTATTACCCAACAACGGTATATAACAGTTCCTTTTCCCCCTAGTAACAGTATATATATAACTCTCTATGTATACATATTGTTCCTATATTACCCAACAACAGTATATAACAGTTCATTTTCCCCCTAGTAACAGTATATATATAGCTCTCTATGTATACATATTGTTACTATATTACCCAACAACGGTATATAACAGTTCCTTTTCCCCCTAGTAACAGTATATATAGCTCTCTATGTATACATATTGTTCCTATATTACCCAACAACGGTATATAACAGTTCAATCCCCCCTAGTAACAGTATATATAACTCTCTATGTATACATATTGTTCCTGTATTACCCAACAACGGTATATAACAGTTCCTTTTTCCCCTAGTAACAGTATATATAACAATCTATGTATACATATTGTTACTATATTACCCAACAACAGTATATAACAGTTCATTTTCCCCCTAGTAACAGAATATATAACTTTATATACAAAATGTTCCTTTCTCACCTTGTAACAGTATATATAACTTTATATACAAAATGTTCCTATTCCTGTAGAATTATTTCTTTTTCCTCAGCAAGAAAATAACTGTTTGTACGTTTTCTCAGAATTGTTTTTTCAATAAAATGTTCCTTTTTCCTAGCAGCAGTAGTTATACCTGTATGTACAAAATTTACAACAGTACATTCAAAAGTCATTAATTAGTAAAAGACACTTAACAATTAAGTGTCTTGTTAGTGTCTCTATTGAAAAAGAAAATGTACCAAAAGTTCATTTATTTTAAATTATATAATTTTTCTATCACCAGAACATTCTCTTCATGTTTGTGTTGTTCCAGGTTACCATGACACCAGTGCCTACCCTCCCCCCTCGTTCTACAACCCTCTACCCTGGCACCACAACCCTGTCCCAAAACAGAAGACAGACAAGAACAAAATAAAGACGAAACCAAGCAAGGCAAAGAACTATGTATGGAACCCTAGCAAGTACTTCTGAGGAGGATAAAGCATGGATAGACGTTTTATACTGTGAATGTGTCTGACTAGTTCAAGTGTCAATGTACAGAGCCTATCATCAAGTGGGGCCAATATCACAAACCGCACCATATTGTACAATTTCAGAGATAAAAGATCTTAATTTTAGTAGATTTTTTTTATATAATTACAAAATAAAATGTATCATTTATTTCAATAAAAAACACAATTTATTTTGGTGGATACATATGTATCTACTGTTTAATTTTCATTTTTCAATTTTGGCTTTAACTGGAATGTGCCTGAAAATTTGGATACACTATCCTATGTGTTTGTGTCCTGACACAAGGTCTTGTTTCATAAATTGTAAAATCTATGATATAAGAGACATAGTCCATGTGATCAGTCTGAATGAAAATAATTGTATATTTATTTCAATAGCCCAATTGCTAGACGATTGTAGTACTGCAAGCTGAGTCAGCGAAAATATGCTTAAAAAAAACATGTGTATAAATGTTTTGTAATTAATAATTCATTTGTATTGTTAGACTTTTTTATTTATGGAGAAAAGTTTGTGTGTGGGTTTTTTTTCGCCCTTTAAAGTTAGATCTACATAAGAATAGCGTAGAAGTAGGTTTCCAGTAAGTAGGGTCAGTGAAGTGTTGATAACGTAAAAATGTCGCTGTCAGTGACACCTATCCGTCCAGTTTAGCTAAACCATTGTTTATATGTTGTAGCTATAAACCATTGTTTATATATTGTAACTAAACCATTGTTTATATATTGGAACTAAACCATTGTTTATATATTGTAACTAAACCATTGTTTATATATTGGAACTAAACCATTGTTTATATATTGTAGCTAAACCATTGTATATGAATTGATACTGTCATGTTTTGGCTGTTCTGTTTTTCTATCCTTTTTGTATGAAGACATTTTGTAGCAAGACTTGAATCTCCTCATCACTTGGCATATCTGATGTCAAGGGAGGTAAATCTTGTTTTACTGAGATATTACAGTATGTGTATTCTATAAGGACATTTGTTTTATTCATTTCTTCATTTGGATTTTTAAATTAAAATGGCTTAATTTTAATTTTGAAAATCATACTTGATTTTAATTTATAAAACATTACAAATCCAGTTTAGGATCATTGTTCTGTTAAATTTTTCAACAAATTACTGATATTTTTTCATTTTTCTTATTTAGAAAAAAAAATGATTTTCAGTAAAGATACCATTTGCTGGAATCAGCAGTTTATTTGGGGCACTTATAAGGAAATTTTTGAAAAATTAATCAATTCAAACATAATTCTTCAACTGCACCCTTGATTGCTGAAATGTTTTATTTACAAACTTACAAAGAGAGAAAAAAACATCCTAATTGAGTGTTGTTGATTTTGTTTAAAAAACACGGAAATAGATTGATTCGTTTCTAGTCTTGAATCCAGAGTATAGATTAGATAATAGACAAAATTCAGCATTGTACATGGCTTAAATGGTGTGATTGAAAATTAAATTATTGATTTCCTGGTCATGTATAATTATTTGTATGTGTAAATGCGTTTGTGACCACAGCTAGAAGATAAAAAGTTGTTAGAGGTTAAAAGCTTATTATCTGTGATATGGGTTTATTCAAATGCAGAATAAAATGTCATCTCTTGTCTTTTTCATGTTCTGCCTGTATGTGTTGGGGTTGGACAGAGTTGTCTTCAGTGACAAATATAAAATATAAAGAAAACTGATTCCAACTGGTTTCCCAGTGTTACATTATAGCTGGTCCAAACCGGGTTAATCTTGTGTTGTCAAATTCTTGCAATTTTTAGGTCACCTGAGACAAAGTCTCAAGTGACCTATTGCGATCGCCTTTTGTCCGTCGTCGTCAGTCGTCCGTTGTGCGTACGTAAACAATTTACATTTTCGACTTCTTCTGCAAAACCCCTGAACCAATTTCAATGAAATTTTGCAGGGACCTTCCATGGACAAAGGTCAACAAAAAGAGTAGCCGGTTTAGTCCCAAGCCCCCAGGGGCCTGAGGGGCGGGGCCAAAAAGGGTCAAATTGACTAAAGTTTCAAAAATCTTCTTCTCCAAAACCCCTGAACCAATTTCAATGAAATTTTGCAAGAACCTTCCATGGACAAAGGTCAACAAAAAGAGTAGCCGGTTTAGTCCCAAGCCCCCAGGGGCCTGAGGGGCGGGGCCAAAAAGGGTCAAATTGACTAAAATTTCAAAAATCTTCTTCTCAAGACCGTGATATGGTAGAATCAAATACTCTTCATATATGGAAGGGTCTTAAGGTGCTTTATAGAAATTGTGAATTTTGTGACCCTGGGGTCTCACGTTTTCCCCTGGGGAGGGGGTAAACTTTACTATAGTTTATATAGGGAAATCACATTTTGGACCAACATTTGTTTAATTTCCATTGGAAGTAATTCAATTTGGGTTAGCATTATCAGTATTAGGTAGCAGTTTGATAATAAGCACATATGAGCCCTGACTGACCCCCAGGGGCTGATTGGTGGGGCCAAAAAAGGTCGAATTTACTGAAATTTGAAAAATCTTCTTCTCAAGACCAAGATATGGTAGAATCAAATACTCTTCATAGATGGAAGGGTCTTAAGGTTTATGGCCCTAGGGTCTCACGTTTACCCCCTGGGGAAGGAGGGGGGGGGGGGGCAAAATTTATTATGGTTTATAATGGCAAATGATACTTCGAATATTACATGTTAATAACTTGATTGGAATTATAACCTTGAATTGACAGTTTGATACTTTGAAAATTTTGAGCCAGCCCTACCCCCAAGGGCTGTAGGGTGGGGCTCAAAGGAGTCAGTGTGCTAAAATATCTTCATTTTCCTTGTTTAGAATCAGAGGCACTAGTTTCAAATCCTTTTAGTCTTAAATCTGTATGCTAGATATTGAATAAGGTGGTTTTATTGTTTTTTGTCACTTTGAATAATATTTCTGTTCATGTTAAAAACAAAATCAACTCTCTGTATAAATATATCAGGTGACCGTTAAGGCCCATGGACCTCTTGTTTGGTCTAGCTACTAGCTTAGAATGTGTATGAAAATTCCAATGGAGTCCTCAGAAAGAACAAAGGGATTTGTTAACGCCAAGACATTTCTCAAAAATATTTTGAAATGTATAGAGGACAACACTACACTACTCTTCAGTTGTAATGCATAGGGGCAAGTAATCCTATCCACATAATGACCAGCTGCTGTAAGTAACTGTTTCAAATCCAATGTAGCAGTTGACAGTATGCTCCGGCCGCGGCCGTTCCATCTTAAAAGCGTTAAAGCTGTAGACATGCATAATGATATTTTTTTTTAATTGCACATCATTTGGCCTTTGTTCTCCTGATCTCAAAAGAAACGCAAATTAATTCAAGCCTAATAAGCATATGTGAACAAAATATGGACTGGATACATTCAGGTCAAAGGGTGCAACTTCCATTTGGCCATTCAGCCGAGCTGATTAGGATAAGCATAATAGATCTCAAAATTAACTCAAAACATTCCCTCCTCGTTGGTTTAGTATGGAAATCAGAATTCTGTTTTAGTAACAGATCGTGTCACCTTTGACCTTAACTGAGCCTGAAAGCATCACTTCTAACATCTATTACCAGTATTCAAAACCAACGCACGTGTGTAATACTGGTATGACCACATGCATTAACATGACATACTTTGGGCTTACAAAATACATTGAGTTGTCTCCCTTCAGCTATCAACATATTTTCGATAGCACAGGGACCTGCTAATCAATTATTACAGGTAGTAATATAAAAGTGTTACAAGACGTTAAACGGGTTTAGATCCACATTTGATAAAACACGCATACATCGCCACCCTCAATCACTGGGACCTGAGAATTTGTTACAGCTATATTTGGACCTCAACTAAATTAATCTTACACGTTTTAGGGGTTTAGATCAACTTTCGGTAAAAATGCCATCCCCCAATTATGATATATACAGATTCTCAGGTCCCTGTGCCCTCAAAAACAGTATAAAACAGTGCCACTATCAGATCCCTGTGGGTCTAAGGTTTGAATGTATCCAATGCTAGCATTAGCGACAGTCCGTTGATTCATAATATTTACGCTTGAAAGGGAGAAAACGTTATGGTTATTTTTCCCATCATCAAAAGATGATCTATTTGATTGATATCAATTGCATCAGTGAAATCAATTGTACCCTTGTTCACGTTATTTATAAAGTCAATCAACTGCGTTCGATGTTACATTTATCTATTCGTCTTGGCGCAGGTACTCTATATCCTACACTTCTTGTTTGTAAGTAAATCCCATGGTCTGGATATGGCTTACAACTCTGTAAACACTATCGGTAAATACTCTCTTATAAGTCACACAGTAAAGTATGTGATATTGTTTGTAGCCGGAGTGTCTAAGTATGTACTATATTTAATGTAGTACGTGGAATACACGCAAAAAAATACATCCTGCACGAAGCTAGGCGGACCTAATGTCAATACCGTGATTTAACCTGAAAATCAATCCGGTTGACAGTGTAAAATATGACTAATATGGTGTGCTATGGTAACGGATCCATTTTATGTTAACATCAATGGTAACTTTACCCTTCTGATTTTGACATAAACAGAAATCCTAACAAACACTTCAGAGGAGGAAGTCATGGATGGATTATTTTAGTTAAAATAAATGTAATTTTATCCCAGATAAGTAAAACACGATTCGGAAGTAGGAGATGGGATCAAAGAAAGTCGAGGTATTGATTTGTTTGCATTTCTGACATCTAATGCTTTTTACACGAATTTTAATCCTAAATATACACGCAGAACAAGGAAACCCTGAAGGAAGTTTTGGTTTGATTTAGAAATTAGTTTTCGTCTAATACCTGACCATAGTTTGAGGTTTAACTCTTCGACAAGGGAGGTAGCACGAAATTAGGGCGACGGAACCTTGATATAGCATCATATTAACCATACCTATTTGTGTGATAGAGTTATCTCTCTGACTTACTACATCTACAACATGCGCATCATTCAACTGCATGTTTCGTATGAGGCGACTAATGTAATATAACTACACAGTATCGATGTGGATACGATCACACGGTCGTGCTGGTATCGGTAGATGTGGTCTTTCACTCGAAAGATGGTCAAAGAGATTGTTATCGTGCGCACGTGCGTTGCTCACATAGATATTTTCGTGCACACGGTCTTGCACACATGGATTGGTCAATAATATGTTGACATGCGCACGGGCGTTTGTTTCTAGGTAGTGCGGTGGTCACGTATAAGTTGTCGTGCGCACGTTCTTGAACACTTGCAATATTGGTCATGATAGATTCAGTCGATCAAACGGTGATTTATGCGTGCGCTGATTAAGGTATATTTGTTTGTGATCACATGTATGTGGTCGTGTATGTAGTTCGTTGGTCACGTATGTGTGGCCGTGCCCACGTGCGTAGGTTACGGTAGATGATTACTCCCCCACTCTAAATTTTCCATTTCCGGGTGATCATTAGTTTTAAACAATGCCCAATAACGCCTACATGCTGTATTTACTACGGGGACTCGTTAACGTGCTAACTCCTTACATAAATTATTTGGAGAGAAAAAAACACGACATCTTAGATTTTATTTATCGTGTTTTGTGGTTGCGAAATAAAGCGAAACGGCGATCATGAGATAGAGGAGGTTTAAATGACATCACGCCTTGAAGTGATGTTCCACTAACGATAAGACAAACTTAACAGGTCGCTGATTGCAAACGTTATGATAATAATGACGTTTTATTTTTTCGGTTTAACCACGTGCTTTTTGTAGTGTGAAATACACTAACATAGAGAAGATACAAAGTGCACTGAATATTATCTTGTTAAATAAGAGGATGTTTTTTTCTGTATGAGAGAGAGGGAGTGACACCATTTATCTTGTGTAATTAATGTTATCACGTGTCAGTAAGTGGTATATTTATGTGAGTCTCGTCCCAGAAATAGTTGTGGTTTGTCCTATTGTAGATACGGAGATGTATTTTCCAATAATACATACTGTACAGTCCCTTAACCTGAAATGTTTGTTTTGTGTGTCACAATCTTACACGAGAAACTAGATATTCTCTCAGGCTGAACCTCGTAAGTAAATCATATCAATCTTCAGTCGTTAGATAATAGGGCACTGTCATACAATGGCATCGTTATCGTATCCGATTGTACTCTATGGACCCATTGACAAAACATACTGGTCATACAGACGTAGGGAGACATTAGCCAGGTGGCATAGGATAGTAGTTCGCCTGATAAGGCAGCTCCTGCGACTTCCACACAATTGTATTGATTAATGCACATATGCTTTAATTGTATTGATTGTACAAATTGTATATCTATGTACTGTAGATCACTATTCTAGCTTAATAGGGCACTATATCAAATGTTGTATATTTGTATTTTGTATAACAACGGGGGCTAATTTACATGTATGATGTAACCATACCAATACAGTGGAAACTCATTTAACCATACCAATACCATGGACACTCGTTTAACCGTATCAATACAGTGAAAACTCGATTATCAATACCAATACAGTGGGAACTCGTTTAACCGTACCAATACATTGGAAACTCGTTTAACCGTATCAATAGAGTGAAAACTCTTTTAACCGTACCAATACAGCGAAAACTCTTTTATCCATACCAATACAGTGGAAACTCGTGTAACCATATCAATACAGTGAAAACTCGTTTAACCGTTCCAATACAGTGAAAACTCGATTATCATTACAAATACAGTGGGAACTCGTTTAACCGTACCAATACAGTGGAAACTCGTTTAACCGTACCAATACAGTAAAAACTCGTTTAACCGTATCAATACAGTGAAAACTCGTTTATCCATACCAATACAGCGGAAACTCGTTTAACCGTATCAATACAGTGGAAACTCGTTTAACCGTTCCAATACAGTGAAAACTCGTTTAACCGTAACAATACAGTGGAAACTCGTTTAACCGTACCAATACAGTAAAAACTCGTTTAACCGTATCAATAAAGTGAAAACTCGTTTAACCGTTCCAATACAGTGTAAACTCGTTTATCCTTACCAATATAGTGGAAACTCGTTTAACTGTCCCAATACAGTGAAAACTCGTTTAACCGTATCAATAAAGTGAAAACTCGTTTAAGTGTATCAATACAGTGAAAACTCGTTTAACCGTATCGATAAAGTGAAAACTCGTTTATCCATACCAATACAGTGGAAACTCGTTTAACTGTCCCAATACAGTGAAAACTCGTTTAACCGTATCAATAAAGTGAAAACTCGTTTAACCGTTCCAATACAGCGGAAACTCGTTTAACCGTATCAATACAGTGAAAACTCGTTTATCCATACCAATACAGTGGAAACTCGTGTAACCATATCAATACAGTAAAAACTCGTTTAACCGTTCCAATACAGTGAAAACTCGATTATCATTACCAATACAGTGGGAACTCGTTTAACCGTACCAATACAGTGGAAACTCGTTTAACCGTAACAATACAGTGAAAACTCGTTTAACCGTATCAATAAAGTGAAAACTCGTTTAACCGTTCCAATACAGCGGAAACTCGTTTAACCGTATCAATACAGTGGAAACTTGTTAACCGTTCCAATACAGTGAAAACTCGTTTAACCGTAACAATACAGTGGAAACTCGTTTAACCGTACCAATACAGCGGAAACTCGTGTAACCATATCAATACAGTGAAAACTCGTTTATCCATATCAATACAGCGGAAACTCGTTTAACCGTATCAATACAGTGAAAACTCATTTATCCATACCAATACAGCGGAAACTCGTTTAACCGTATCAATACAATGGAAACTTGTTAACCGTTCCAATACAGTGAAAACTCGTTTAACCGTAACAATACAGTGGAAACTCGTTTAACCGTACCAATACAGCGGAAACTCGTGTAACCATATCAATACAGTGAAAGCTCGTTTATCCATATCAATACAGCGGAAACTCGTTTAACCGTATCAATACAGTGGAAACTCGTTTAACCGTATCAATAAAGTGAAAACTCGTTTAACCGTTCCAATACAGCGGAAACTCGTTTAACCGTATCAATACAGTGATCACTCGTTTATCCATACCATTACAGTGAAAACTCGTTTATCCATACCAATACAGCGGAAACTCGTTTAACCGTTACAATACAGTGAACACTCGTTTAACCGTATCAATACAGTGAAAACTCGTTTATCCATACCAATACAGAGGAAACTCGTTTAACCGTACCAATACAGTGGAAACTGAACCATGTAGTAATAATGGAAGACCGTGAAATAGAACCAAAACAAAGACATTTCGTTTATCCGAACAAAAGCAACGTAAATTCGGTAAGGAAATTAAGAGCAGTACATTGTCACATTGACATTTAATACACACAATTATTTTAAGGATTGACTTTCAGCTGTTTCGAGTGAATTAACATGTGAAATGATCCGCCCCTCAAAACAGTAAGATTTATTTACATCACCGACGTGTACATGTGTACAGATTCTAAATGATACAATTCTGTGTGTAACGTTGATCTCATTCACTTAGCTTTCAAATTCATATACCCCTATATTCAGCCAGGACTGCGTAGCAATATACGTGTGCACTCTATGTACATACTATGCATTAGTCTATCTATTAATGTATTGTGCTACTACACATGTATATAGCAGGTGTGTTTTTTTCGAAAACTTTTGTATGGTGTATTGTCACAAACGGAATTCAAACTTAAAACTTTACCGTCGCTACTAAATGTTTTCTTTTAAAGAGGTTGTTACACTTTTGAATTATGATTTGTTTATTTCGCGTGTTTTATACAGTGTATTGACTGCCACTGGTTAAAGATCTAGAAAGACAGTCGAATAAACACTAAATACATCGTTGATGCATACACCCTACATGAAGGATAGAAATACACACAAGGAAAGGTTGTCGCCGTGGCGTGTCTATATCTAGCTATCTATCAATATCTTTAATTCTCAGTATCCATGCACTTATCGTATGTATATATATATATTAACACAGATCGATCAGCGCGTTTGTGTGTACATCGTTGGCCAGCTTGCGAGCTGTCTGATAAAGGAGGAAGTGTTTTATAAGCGCTGATGTGGGAATTCCCCTAATGACACGTGACCGCCATTCCAATCCAATCCATTTACATACTTCCTGGTTGGGCTTTACAACTAAACTAACACATGCTGTACGCTAGCTGCTGAGCGGACCTACAAGGCCTATTTACTAAGGATGCTCGTACCGCTGTATATTATTGGAACCTGTTTTTTCGACGTGACAGTACCTTTGATAAATAATTGCTGAAAAGAAATCCATACCTTAACACGAAATAAAATCACCAACAGTGTTCTGGGTACCAAAGAAACACCGCGGACTAGACCTGGAATCGAACCCTAATTGACATAGACGGATACGCTACCAATCTAACTGATTGAGCTACCTGGTCGACAGAACTGTCCTGGCCTCATTGTTCTACAATTAAATCTAAACAGGAGTTAAGGGGAGGGTGGGGGGAACAGTGCAGTATGACAGGGTCGTAATAGCTCAACAAATGCCCTCGATATCAGAATATTTTCTGCATACAAAAGAGATTGGACAACAGGAAAATCCTACAAAAACCCATTTCCATATACTGTTTGGAATTGGAATGGAAGTCGCAGTGAGATATCCACGTGTGATATAATCTGGTGACCTACTTCCCTTATCTAACGTATTGTTCTCTGTGCTACGTTTTAGTTTAATCTGATAGTTTATACCAATTAGCTACAGACAAGTGTAGACTGTCACGTATTGTTTACTAGCTACAGAATAGTGTAGACTGTCACGTGTTGTTTACTAGCTATAGATAAGTGCAGACTGTCACGTGTTGTTTACTAGATACAAATGAGTGTAGACTGTCACGTGTTATTTACTAAGTGTAGACTGTCACGTTGTTTACTAAATGTAGACTGTCACGTGTTGTTTACTAAGTGCAGACTGTCACGTGTTGTTAACTAAGTGTAGACTGTCACGTGTTGTTTACTAAGTGTAGACTGTCACGTGTTGTTTATTAAGTGTAGACTGTCACGTGTTGTTTACTTAGTGTATACTGTCACGTGTTGTTTACTTAGTGTAGACTGTCACGTGTTGTTTACTAAGTGTAGACTGTCACGTGTTGTTTACTAAGTGTAGACTGTCACGTGTTGTTTACTAGCTACAGTGTACTGTAAGGATCCCTGTATCTTGATAAAAACTCTAACTACACATTGGAAACTATTTTCTTTTCGGCAAGACTAAATATAGCTTGGATATGTTATTTCTTAAAAGAAAACTACATATTGCGAGAATTATTTATTCAAAAAATAATAAATAATAACAAATTATAATCAACAACAGTGACCTGAGTGTAAAAAAAGCTAGACCGGGATTCGAACCATAGACTAAGGATTGTTAAACAACCGCTCTAACCGACTGAGTTACCTATCAACTGAAACATCTAGGCTCAACTGTGCTGGAGTTATATCCAAAACGAAATAAATGCTTAAAGGCTGTGATCGCAATCTATATCATCAGCCCACAGTGTCAGCGACAGCCGCTATCGTCTATGTACAGCCGTGTATTAGGTAAAGCCTGGTGTAGACTCACTGTAAACACAATATATTACATACGGTGTCCTTACGTAGTAATAGACTAGTGTATTCCGTTCTTATATTCAAAAGGATCTTTGATTGTTATCGTTTCGGAATTCAGCCAACCGGATCCACAGAATACTAAAATACTCTTCATGGAGGATATTTACTCATAAGAATTATTATCGACATTTACTTGAGTAAATTTTTAGTTATCAAGATTATTTTTTGTAAAACAAATATGTACATGCCTATCAATTGATAAAAGGAGCGTATTAGTCCGTGCGCGTTAGTCAGCCCTGGACTACGGCTGAACATGAAGCTACCAAAGAGCTGCATGGTCAACAGGACTTGAAAACGGGAAGTGTGCATCCTACAAAATAATTTGTTCCAGTAAAACCAGATCTGATCATATTTTCCACGAAGTAGTAACCTAAGTGTTTTGAGAAGATTCGCACACGTGTTAATATGGAGTTTAAACGCAATCCTGGATGATTAATTGTGTGATTTCGAGGAATACTACAAACTCTTTAAAGGTAAGTTAATAAACATGTCCTTATATAGTATACAATAGAAACTAGCGCGTCCCCTCCCTGAATAGTATACCATCAGTCACCGAGTACATTTTGTTGACATATACTTTTGGTTAATAAAACTGTATATATCCTACTACAATGTATATAGATAATACAGGGCAAAGCTTTTAGGTTGTACCCCACGCTGATGGCCGGGGTTCGATTCAGGGTCCGAGCGGGGTGCTATCGCGTTCATAATATGATCACAAATCTTGACGAATTGATATCAGAGATGAAAAAGGTATTCCTGATCTGTTATTCTGGTAACGCTGTTTTATCTCACCTAACACTAGGTGTCTGTCAGATTTTTTATTCGATGACACATTCCGTCCGTCATCCGTTTCCCACGAAATCGACTTTTAAAGGTACTAAGACATCAGTCATTTGCTTGCTGTGGTGAACCCTCGTAATTCCGAAATGTCGGGGATGTCTGTGTTATATTATGTTATGTGTTATATATTATTTCAAAATCACATTGGTCGAATATATATGTTAAAGATAAGGAACTTTTAGGTCCACGGTTCATATAAATTTTCCACTAAGAGCTATCTATTGAACAAATGATGTTCTGTCTTTTAAAAACGCATGGGTCTAGTTTGCGAACAGGTCCTATTAAAACCGCCTACAGAGCTATGAGTTATATAGTTATGGTGACCTACTTGTAGACTTATGTGGTAGCATGCTGTCAAGTTTGTTAGATAAATACATACAACCTTGACCAACTCTCAAATGTCACACGGGTCAAATGTCACACGGGCCAAATGTGCTCAAAACCTCTTCAACAGAACAATAAATAGTGTGCTGTTTATGTTGCTTAAATTAGTACCTGACCTTGACCTTCTTTAAATGTCAAAGGGCTCAAAAAAGATTAAAACTTCTTATATAAATCAGATCTCTCATTACATTACGTTATGGATTAGATTTATGAGGTTTATATGCATGACTGCTATGAAGCTTGGTGGGATGAAGGACTAATATGTATACACTTACATTCAAATTGATGACGTAAGATGTAAATTGACCCACTTTCAAGGTCACAAGAGTCAACTGTGTTAAAATCTTTAAACCAGTTTGTGTACCGAACTATTAGACTTAAAGCGACATGTCTGGTCCGTATTTAGTTGCGATCAAGAGTTATCAAGTTTGTAACAGAAGGTTGTTAGGGTGAAGGGTGGTCGAAGAGCTAGGTGGCGTATCTCCGTGGTCCTGCACTCACAGGTACTAGGCTCGTCTGTCAAAACACCTCGCGCGCGTTGTATGTGTTTTGCTATGTTTCACAATATTTTCTCTTTGAGTAGACTGTCTCACTCAGATTCATTTTTTTCGTATTTTTATGGAGCAAAAGTCTCATACGTGTGAACGCTATCACACATGTAGTAAATTATCTATTGCGTAGACGCACCCGTGTAGGGTTTAGTTTACACGACCGTTTTCGTCAGAAGTATACGCAGAAACGCCCAGAATTTAATTTTCGAGTGTATGTTATTTGGCTGTTATGATTGGAATAACTAATACAAAGATATTTTTTCAATTTTACATCGCATATTTAAAGCAATAACCATCATACAGTACTGTAGTGATATTTGTTCGATAATTAACTATATAATATAATTAAAATTAATAAAAAATTGTTTCAGAACAATCAGTAGACGAACCAAAACACAGACTTCGTGTACCTGGATACGTCACATAAATTATATACAATAGCCCGTCCGACGCGCTATCCATTACGCCACAAGTGCTATACAGCTGCGAATAACAGTCACTTCGTCAAACAATCGACACATCGCTACATCACCATTCATATGCTCTATAAGTAATTCATACACATCTTACTTTACCATATATATATTTTAAAGCAATACTGTAAATTGATGTTATTACGCCGTGTTTTGTCGATTTCCCCCAGTATCTTAAACATACGGTATATATATACGTAAGCAATTAAACTTGATATACGATTGTCATTGCATTAGCTATCACAAGTGACATGTTATTGTTAGTAAATCAAAGACAGCTGGTTTTGTTATTGTCGTACATAGCTGGTTTAAGATAGATCGGGCTGGCGGAGGGCGTGGTGATTTATATATTGTTATTCAATTGATTCTTGGCGTTTTCACGAATACACGTAATTGATTTTTGAAAATTTCTACAAACAAGTATCGACCAGTTCTGGACGCCGTTATAATAGCTTACCATCACATGCCTATGCAGTTGATATTCGATGCATGGAGTTTTTAAAAAAATCGGCACGGAAGTAGCTTCTATTCCTGGTGCGTCAAGTCTTGGCTATCTTCCCGGAATAGTGTTTTCTTTCCAGATTTTTCGAGATTTTCATTGATATAACCAAACGCTTCCTGCACACAACATTATGGTAAACAAATGTAGGTCGGTCGGACTAGAAACTATATTTGCGGTCTCTGATATAAATATGGGGACTAATAGAGTCTATCATATGTAGGCATGGGGACAAATAGAGATTATCATATATAGCTATGGGGACTAATAGAGATTATAATATGTAGTTACGGGGACTAATAGAGAATATATTATGTAGTTACGGGGACTAATAGAGAATATCATATATAGATATGGGGACTAATAGAGTCTATCATATATAGGTATGGGGACTAATAGAGTCTATTTTATGTGGGTATCGGGACTAATAGAGTCTATCATATATAGGCATGAGGACTATTAGAGTCGATCGTATATAGGTATGGGGACTAATAGTCTATTTTATGTGGGTATCGGGACTAATAGAGTCTATCATATATAGGTATGGAGACTCATAGAGATTATCATATGTAGGCATGGGGACTAATATAGATTATCATATGTAGGTATGGAGACTAATAGAGATTATCATATGTAGGTATGGGGACTAATAGAGTCTATCATATATAGGTATGGGGACTAAAAGAGATTATCATATGTAGGCATGGGGACTAATAGAGATTATCATATGTAGGTATGGGGACTAATAGAGTCTATAATATATAGGTATGGGGACTAGTAGAGTCTATCATATATAGGTATGGGGACTAATGAAATCTATCACATGTAAATGTTGCACTTAATGGAGTTTATCATAAATATAGAGTCTATAGGTTTGGGGTGCTACTTTAATTGAGCATATGTAGATAGGGGACTTACATAACCTATAATATGTAGGTATAGGGGACTTACAGAATCTATTATATGTAGGTATAGGGGACTTACAGAATCTATTATATGTAGGTATAGGGACTTACATAATCTAGCCTATCTAGGTATGTGCATTTCACTGAAAAAACAACTATGACATCGCGAGTGTAGCTATAAATATATTCAATAAGGACATGACTGAAAATTATGGTATTTCTAAAGATTGAAGCAACGTTTAAAAGCTTCCCACTTCACGTTTGTCGATAACTGTTTCCGTGGGGCGTTGTCGCAAAGTCTGTAGATATTCTTCCTCTGATTAAAATCAACATTTATATTAACGACGTCACGTATCACATTGTAATGATATATCAGGACGAGAGTTGATAGGGTTCAGAACCGGCCCGAACTGACGATCTCCGAGTGTTTGTTTGTGGGATAGCGTTATCTTGTTATGATAACCGAGGTTGGAAATATACCTTCTAGAGACTGGTCTACCGGATATTGATATGATGCCGAGAAGTAAGTAAATAAATAATGTTTTCTAGCGAATAAAGATGTTTTACAGAACACTTCAAACACACGATTAGGACTGACAGAGTAAATTATGTCTCCCCTTCGAATGATATCTTATCTGATATCTTATGGCCCTTTGTTTATTTTTAATACCAAAGTTTGTCAGGAGAATAAGTTCCATGTTATTTCACTTACGTTGACCAAACTTACCATATTTATGTATCTTTGGAAGGGGGAATCTTTCGCACTATAATCGGGTCGTGTGCCCAACTATATACAGAGTAATAGCCCTTTGTTTATTTGTTATGTCGAAGTTTGTCTAAGACATAACTTCTAAACCATTACAGATATCTTGATCAAACTTGAAGTATACCTGCGTTTTCAGGAAGATCTTTTCTGGGATGTTACTTTTAAACCGTTTAAGGTGGCTCGACACATCGTCATCAGCGTCCATTTTCGTGACATACTTCCGGAAAAAGTACAGCTAGGACTCAATTATCTTAATCGAAATGTGCATGTACACCGTGTCGTCATTTCCGTATTGCGTATCGGGCATTCAATATCGTAGTGCAAATTATAGTAACACCTGCTGGGCCGTTTTCGTTTAAACGGTCAAACCGATCGGACCACTGTTGTTCGTTTATTAAATAAGGTCGGACCTAGTAATCTGATGCTGCTTTCAGGCGAGTCTTGAGAAAGCCTTGCAAGGCCTGCATACACATTTGCAGGTCCGCCAGGATTTACACCCGAAATTGTTACATTTATAAACGGTCAAACCGGTTGTTCCGCATAAACGAACAGGCCCATGGTAAACAATAGTACACGTGCGTGCCGATGATATGTCAACACCCGATATCAAGATTTTACCGGGAAATGTATACTCACACGTACTTCAGGAATAAAGCTTTCCAATTCATAGACATAAACAGACTCACGGGAAGACAGTGACATGAGACCAGACGACCTCAAGAAGGTCATATAGGAAACACATGGAATGCGGACGTACCAACCTCACATGTGCATATCGCGTGTTTACACGAGTTCCTAAGCTCGAGGTCGTTACGATTTTCGCTGTTGAGGGAGTTTCGCTCTGTCTATTAAATCGTGTTTACAAATGTAGTCTTCTAGCTTACTCTGTGAAAATAATGTTTTGTAAAATATCAAGATACCTATGAAATGCATGTGTGAGTGCACGTGAGAACGGTATACCATGCGATAGCCTCTGGTCTGACATGTAATTATAAATATACCGTGAGTTAGCGGACTGTGGAATGATGTCCAAAGTGTACATGACTGTGGGT